GCACCGCCCGCTCGCCCTCGCGTCCTCCTGCGGTGCGCGGCGCGCGGCGGGGGCGTGAGTAGTCGGGGCCCTACATAAACACAGGCTCCCATTGGTCCGGGCGCCGTGGCGTCACGAGGCCCGCACGCCGCCTTCACGTGATCGCTAAGGGGTTTCTCAATGAAAAGGGTCTCGAGGCGGGGCCCAGAGCTCGCAGGAGGGTAGTAGGTGGGCGCCGTCTCACCTGATCCTCTAACCCGGGAGGCTGCGCCTGCGCCTCCGCCCTGCGCGCACCCCAGCGCGGGGACCCGGTGTCGGGGCGTCTGGGCCCGGAGCAAGCGCCGGTTCCCGCAGACGGCTTACTTTACGCGGCCAATCATTATGCTTCCTGCTATCAGCCTCAGAGTAATGTCCATTCTGTGCTTTGTGCAGATGCTGCAGGGCAGTAACACAAACATTACGGTATTACAAAGGATCCTTCTAGAAGCGGAAAACTGGTGTCTGTAGAAGAGTGGAGAAATCACGGAGCATTCTTACTATGGAATACTGTGTGGCCGTGGTGGGGTAAGGTATGGCGGGCGACATGGGTAGGAACTTCAAGGTGGAGTAAGTAAAGCATTAAAGTGGCAAGCGTTTAGAATACCTGGCCTCTTGCTCATTTTATATCAGCAAAGTTTTCTAACAGATACTACATACATGGCAGGGTCAAAGACTATGGGAAAGAAAAATTTTCCTTTTCCAGAGCATGGTGGTTAAATATTAATTTTGTTAATTAGAAATTATTTCTGAAATGGAGGCAAGTCCACAAAATAATATACCTATATGCCCATCATCCTGACTGAACAAATTTTAATACTCCTGTCTCCATGTTTACAAAACTCCCATCTGCAAGACCTTCCTCATTGATACAGGGAGAAAAACTGGTCTCAGTGGGTGACCTCCAAATGATATAGGGAACCTCCAAATGACATAGGGAAAAATGATCTCCCAACCTGACCTGCACCAGTTCGTGTTCTCTAAAACTAAAGAATGAATTTTAGGAACAAACAGAGGTTATGAGCAGAATATATTTATTGAGCGAAAGAAAGCTCCTGTCCAAGAGAGGGACAGGAGGGGGGCCGGAGTGGATTGTTCCCAGAGAAGCTGTCTCTTCCAGGGACTTTTATAGTGTAAAACCATGCGGGACTAAGGTGGAGAGAATGGGAACTCCCTTAGGTGAACAAGAGGTGGGACAAAACTATGGTCAACCAATGGGATTACAAGCACCATTGCTCAGTTAAAATTGATTAGGCCCAGGACCAAATGGGGCCTTCAGACAATGATTCTTCCTGAGTAATGAGCAATCCTGAATGCCAATCTTTAGGGAGGTTAGCGTTTGTTTGGTCTTTAGGTCTGGTTTACAAATCTCCCACAGTTGTAAGGTGTCTGGTCTTTGTCATCTCCTTTGAGGGCCTGACCCGTTTCTATCTAACTCCGGCTGCCTGCAACATTATCATCCTCTCTGACCAGGTAGAATTCTCCCAGGCCTACCTTTCACTCCTTCTGGCCCTACCTCCTTCATGAAGTTTCTGATTTAGCTCCGTTTTTTTTTTTTTTTTTTTTTTTTTCTTCCAGAACTGGGGATTGAATTCAGGCCCTTGCACTTGCCAGGCGAGCACTTACTGAGCCATCTCCCCAGCCCCTCACTCTGTGTTCTTTGTTTGCTCCTAAATTCCTACAAGACATACAAATTGCAAATATTTATATACTCCTTAGAAGAGAGTCAGGCATGTGAAAATAGTTTAAACACTTACTGTACTACTATATAAATGCTACTGTAATTATTATTAATCTTTTCCTGTCTTTTTATGTTTTAAAAAGATGAGGCCTAACTGGGTGAAGCAGTATCCATACCGTAGGCACACACCCCACACACCACCCATCAGGGTGGTTCAACTAAATACTTGCCTGAGAACAAACAAAAGCCCCACATAAACTCATTGTGAAATAAGGGGGACTCTTTCTCAATTGGCACTGGTTTTAATCTTAATTGCTACAGGGCTGAAGAAAGTCTTACTATCTCTAAAGGGGTGGGGTTGCAGCAGAGCATGCATGGACTGAAGTCACATTCCTCATTGCCTCTGTGAATTTAGAAGGTTTCTGTGGGCTTTAGGCCTTAGGTTGGCACTTGGGAGGCTGAGGCAGGAGGATCACTGCAAACTTGAGGCAAGCCTGTACTATGTAGTGAGTTCAAGTTCAGCTTGGACTACACAGTGGGACCCTGTATCCCAAAACAAACAAAAAAAGATGAGGCCTTGATGGATTGTGTAGGAAATTCGTAGGCTCAAGTGGTCATCTGACCTCAGCCTTCCCAGGAGCTGGGACTGTAACCCCATTCTATTGCACCTGCTGGCCTTGTATTTTTAGTAACAAAAATGAAATGATATTTCTTGAGCCCTCACCAAGATTCCAGAATTTGAGTTAAATGCTTTACAAGGTCTCTTTAAACGATCGCAATTAGTCTGTGAGGTGATACAGTTCTTCTAATTTCATATGATAAAACAGATTTAGCATAATTAAATGCCTTGTCCAAGGCTACCTATTCTACCTGGAGAAACTTTGATTTGAGTCTGGTGGACTCTAGTGGAGCCTCAATTATTAAAGTAATAGCTTTTCATTAAAGGAGGAAAGATTGGCAAAAAAAGAAAAGTAGAAACAAATCAAAACCTCTGCCTATTGCCAAAAACTGCTGCATTAATCAAGGAGTATTATTCTCCCTGAGAACAGCTTTATTGAGATTCATGTGACAACTCTATACTTCACCTTTGAGGAATTACCAGCCTTTTCCAAAGGGGTTACACCATTCTAGGTACATTTCTCTTAATAGCCGGTGCTCCATGTTTTTGCTGTAGGGATTGTGACAGTGATTACACTGAATAAGCTTTCTGCAAATGGGTAGAGAGAAAGCCAGAGTTCTTATGTGCCATAGTAACGCTTACTCCCATGAGCAATGACAATCCCAACTGTGGCCATTTTCTTTTGAGCCTCATTCAGATGCCACTGTGGAGGTGGATTGTGCCCCAGCAGGGGCTGCCTGTCAGGTGTGGCAGCTGAAGGCCTCTCTCTTAGAGGTTGGAGGCTTGAGTTGGTTGTTATGTTCAGTGAGATTCCATAGCACTGTCATCTGACTGCTCTTTTTTTTTTTTTTTTTTTTTCAGAACCCGGGATTGAACTCAGGCCATTGCACTTATTCTACTGAGTCATCTCCCTGCCTCCCCCGCTTTTTTGACTGCTTTTCTGTAACTTTTTCTCATTCCTCTTGACTACAGCACATATTCAGGTGAGTCCTTAAAGTTGAGCCCTTGTCCCTTGGACAGACAAGGTTCTACATACATGTGCTTTTTGTTGTTTTTGTTTTTTTCTAGTACCGGGAATCAAATTCATGACCTAATGCTTGCCAGGCAGGTGCTTATGCCGCTGAGCTATCTCCTAGGTTTTCTGTGTGGTTTTTGGGTGCATGAGGTGGATGAAACTAAAATTAAGCTTTTTTAAGATACTTCTGGTCTCCCCCTTCCTGTTCCTGTGGAGAGTGCTTCTGGGAGTTGTAGTCTCTCAGTAAAGTTGGAAAGAAACTGATTCCCATCAGGGTGGTTCAACTAAATACTTGCCTGAGAGCGAACAAAAGCCCCACATAAACTCATTGTGAAATAAAGGGGACTCTGTTTCTCAATTGGCACTGGTTTTAATCTTAATTGCTACAGGGCTGAAGAAAATGTCTTATTATCTCTAAAGGGGTGGGGTTGCAGCAGAGCATACGTGGACTGAAGTCACATTCCTCATTGCCTCTGCGAATTTAGAAGGTTTCTGTGGGCTTTAGGCCTTAGATTGGCAACATCAGTTTAAAATATTTGCTGGCTTGGGCTGCCCCGATAGCTCAGCTGACTGAAGCACCTGCTTAGGCAAAGGGCATCGTTAGGATTTGATCCCTGGAGCGCTGAGCTGGCCTCGCCCCAGGGTGCACTGAGGTGGTGATTGAGACTGGGCATGGTGGCACGTGCTTGTAATCTCAGTGCTTGGGAGGCTGAAAACAGGAGGATCACTGAGTCTGATCTACATGATGAGACCTTATGGACTCTGTCCTAAATACATTTAAAAAAAATCCAAAAATTTAGAAAAATGAAGTATTTAGTGGCTTTGTTGTTGAATCTGTAGATCTTCTTAGCACTGTTAGTGGGTATTTGAATATATTATCTTAGTTGCCATTTGGTTTAACCTTACTTTTAATAGATAATAAATGTAAATAAGGGCCAGCCATATAGCTCAGTAGACTAAGCAATTGCTTAATGAAGCGCAGGAGCCAGGGTTCGATCCCTGGCGCCGCATGCCACACTGGCCCTGCTTTCGGGCATGCCTAGCCGGGGATGGAGTCTGGGTGTGGTGGCGCACGCCTGAAATGCCAGCCCTGGGGACACAGGAAACAGGAGGATCACTTCGAGTTGAATCTGCGTAGTGAAACCCTGCATGAAAAAAAAAAGAAGATAATAAATGTAAATACTGAGGGGGCATGACATAGAAATTAAAATTCCTTTGTGAGCCTCCATGGAGTTTCACTCCTCAGCAGAAGCCATTCTGAAGAGCTGTGTGAATGTTCTAAGCACTCTGTACCACGAGGAGGACAACTGTGAGGGTGCCAGATTTGTACACCACTTCCTAATGGGGACTGAACTTAAACTAAGGGAGAGTGATTGAGTTTTAACTAACAGTGAGCTGTACATATTTAAAGTATATAGTTTGATAGAAAAAAAAAAAGCTGACAATAAAAAAAAAGTATATAGTTTGATAGGTTTTGACACACGTATATACTTGGAAACAATCTCCATAATCAAAATGGTTGACATATCCATCACTAAATTCCCTTTAGAAATATTTCCTC